TACGTATGAGTCAGTAGATATGGAATAAGAAGACATCGCCACAGAAGGGTCACTCCTACTTCAGTGATCAGTGAGAATCCACATCCAGCATCACGGAATCAACACTATCGACGGACGACCCTCCTCTTTCTTAGATCAAATAGTCAACGGTGTGGACGCATTTAACTTCTCTCAAAAGAGTTCGGATGTGGGCCGACCGCTCCCCGCGTACTGTGCGTGAGATGAACCAGGGATGAACCATTCTTTCATGCAATTTATATTATTTGCTTTACGTGCGCATGCGTAGAACCAATGACACGCGATATTTTTGTTAGCATGCAGAATATTGTTGTAAATCTAAACTTTGTCATTCTCCAATTCTCTCTCTTTTGCGTTGCGTTGCATTGCATTCCAGAGGAATCTGAAAATTATACTGATACATCCCCGTTGAATCATTGTTTATGGAAGTTTATAAATTTGACTACACATTTATTCATTTTTGAATAACTATACAAATAACAAGTTGTTTTTTTTACACATCACCATACTAGATTATGTTTTTATTTTATTTTTTCGTATTTAATATTTAATACATTGTAACAATATTGTGTCCTCATACTCACCATTACCAACTAATTTCCCACATATAATGTGTGCAAGGAAAAATTCCTTAATATAAGTTGTGAAAGACGTGTTTTTTCTTCAATACAGTAAACAATAAACTGTGCTAAACAGTAAGTACTAAGTATACAAGCTCCACGAGTACGCCTCGGATTTGGAAACATGATAGTATAACCGCGAGCAATGAAAGGGAAATTTATTGGGGCCCGTTAAGGGGACTGCATTGTTTGCTATGAAGGAAGTTCGGTTCAGACCAGCGCTCACTATCTCTAAATATTGACGTTATATGCCCTCTCATAACTAACCCTGGTAAGTACGTCAACTCCATGAACCACCGATTTACACGTGTAGTGTATTTCACTCGACGAATCCGGTTTTAAAAATGTCTAGATGTCATTCTGAGAGGCACGGAGGAGAAACCGTGCTGATGTTTGTATCACAATTACAGCCAGTTGTTACTTGAAGGATGGATTGTCTGTGAAATACTATGTATTCTTTGTATGCATGCACATGGACGACAACTTTTGTCTTGTTGGTGTCCAAACGTATGAGTCAGTAGATATGGAACAAGAAGACATCGCTATAGCACATTGAGTGGCCCAGCCGTAGCAATTTTATAATCGTTTTTTTTTTTTTCTTGAGTCGTGGTCAGACTCAACCCAAGAGATTCTACAAACTCGTTATTTAAGGAGTTATAATATAAAACAATAAAATTGCAACGACTGGGCTAGTCTAGGGTCACTCCTACTTCATTGATCAGTGAGGATTCACTCCCAGCCCCGCATAACGGAATCAACACTGCCGATACCCCCCCCCCCCCTTGTTCTCGTAATTCTTGTTCGCGCTAGTTTTGGGAGCTTCTCCGTGTATTGATAAGTCCCGTGGACACGAAGGCCCGCAAGTCGTCGATATTTGCAAAACATTAAATCCCGCTATGCATTGCGTCCTCTGGGATTACTTAATTACTGCTTTTATACTGCCTTCAGCGAGGTTGCTAGAAAGGCGGAACTAACCTAGGATGTACGAAACGAAGTCTCACTTGGTGGCAGCAGAAATTAAATAGTCGTCTTATAAATTTAGAAGGATGGATCTAACAGCTGTACACAACAACGATGTGCATTACAGAGCAATCTTAATGTACAGTCTTGATTGACAATGCTCTCACCCATCTAAATTAGTAATTAACATAGTCCGGTCGATTGGGAATAGAGATTGGGATTAATCAAAATATGTTAGCGTGTTGTTGTAACACCCAAGGTGTAATATTTATTTTTTAAATAATACGGGGGGGGCTGTCATACAATTTTTGTGTTATTGTATTACCGTTATCAACTATACACAATGGCTGTGAAATTTGACATGCTTTTGATTTTTTTTTTTTTTTTACAGTACATGGGAAGATCAACATAAAATGGTAGGGAAATCCACTGTAGTCGCCGTGACTAAGTATTTCCCAGCAGCATGCGTGCTATTATGTTTAATTTCTCTATATTCTATCATTCCTGACGAGGAAGCCATCATTGCTACGTCATCTTGGTATGTTAACACCAGTCAACCAGCGCAGCATGCCAACTTCGACTTTTTAATCAGTCAGTCGCATCGTTGTGAGGGTGCTAATGGCGACGTGCTTCTCGTCATACTCGTTCACAGTAAACCAACAGAGAGGGCGATGCGCACGGAAATTCGTGAAAGCTGGGCAAGCGAAAAACAAGTGGACGGGCAAGAAATAGTGACATTGTTCGTTCTCGGTAGAAGCAATGATGACAGACAACTTAATGATGACTTGGTAAATGAAAATAAAAAATATGGTGACATTATATTGGTCGATTTTATAGATAGTTATGATAATCTTACTCTTAAAACTGTCGCTTGTCTTCAGTGGACATCTCAATATTGTCGCAAATCTAAATACTTTCTAAAAATGGACAGCGACATGATGGTGAACATTCGCGCAGTCGCCAAATTTCTCCGAACAGCGCCCTCAAAAGGTTTCGTTACCGGAGAAGTCGCCTACACTTCCCCGATTCGTTTTCGTTTAAGAAAATGGCACGTCTCAAGAAAGGAATATCCGTACTCGAAATACCCACCCTATATGCTGGGTACGTATCTTCTGTCAATGGACGTAGTGCAACAACTTTACGCGACTGCAAAACACACCATGTTCTATAGATTCGAAGACGTCTACATCGGCATTTGTCTTCGAAAAATAAATTTGACGCCAAGGTATGATGAAAGATTTCAAGTAAACTTTGCTGCGAAGACTGGTCGGACTGGCTGCGAGATGAAGAAGCTATTTGTCGGGCATCACGTGGTTCAAGAGTACGTTCACCGAGTGTGGGAAGACATGTTGGACGTGAACAAAGTGTGTTGACCTTATTGGTATATATCGCTCATAGGAGTGGGCGACCAAGGGTAAAGGAAAACATGTCAGTACTAATTTGTCCAATTTCGTGAATCACTGTGTGAAGCTTTACATGCTCTATTGTAAAAACTTAAATTTACAACAAACAAATCCACTAACATTTTGAAACCCGGATTTTCTTGTTTAGTTAACTTTTTCACGTGTTATAGGTGTTATTCAATTTACGTTTAGATACGTTATGTGGAACCGTTACAATTTTTACTGGGGTGGCAAATCTCCCACGCTTTACAGACTGGAAAATAAATACGGGTAACAACATTGTTACAAAGTGTTACCATGGACGTTCTGTCGTCGTGTTCATATAATTTTGGTGAATTCCACACTGATTAGTGTGAATGACTTCGTATGCAATGTACTTTTCATTTTTTTTTATGTGAGTTGCAGCACCAACGGATTCACATAGACGCTGTTTGTGAGTGAATCTGTCGGCGAAAAAGCAGTAACAAACGCCTTCCGTGTCAGGTTTAATTACATGGAAAAAAACATTATTATTGGTGCTTTTTGATAACAAGTCTGATGAAATAAGACATAATACAACATCCCCACCTGTTTTTACTCTTGTATTTGCTGTACACAAACTGGTAGTGTG